GACAGTTGACAGGATCTAGAAGAGGCAAAGAATGAATTCACCCTTAGAGCCTCTGGATAAAGAATGGAGCCCTAACAACACCCTGATTTTAGTCCAGTCATACTGCTTTCAGACTTCTTTCTTCTGGAACAATAAGAGAATAAATTTCTGTTGTTTTAAGTATAAAATTGATGATAATTTGTTGTAGGAGCCATGGGAACTTAACACAGGTACTCAACAACAACAAAAGAATATCAGAGAGAACAAATGGAATTTTTTTTTTTTTAAAGATTTATTTATTTATTCATATAGAACTAGGGTACAGGCCAGAGATGCAGAGGGTGAGAGGATTCACCAGAGACAGAGTGGGGAGCAGAACAGGCAGATCAACGAAGTACACTGCTGAGGGGAGCAGCGGGCGGGTCAGGAGAGGTCTGCCTCGCCATGTGGTCACCTCCGGGGCAGGCGGGGATCGAACTCATGCGGAAGTGGCTTTAGTTTCTCAGTGCAGTGCTTTAACCCGCTGCGCCACCAGGAAGGGCCGAGAACAAATGGAATTTAAAAAAAAAAGTAATATTTTCAAAAGCTAAGTATGGGAAGAAAAAAAGACTACTAGGGAAAGACTCCATTAGAGAACAAGACAATGATAAAATCTAATAAAAGGTGAATAGCAAAGTACAGTTTCATCTAAAAGGAAGAACTAACTATTTATTAACAGAATAAAAAGACAGAGATAGGACACATGTAAGAAAATTTAGGAGAAATGAAGACCGAATGTGGAATTTCCCATATCATTCTTAGAGTTGCAGAAGTAAATAGAAGAAAGAGAAGGAAAGAAGCATCAAATAAAGGAAGAAGCACGTAAAAAGTAGAAAATAAAAGTCTGTGGATTATATGGGCCCAACTAGTGCTTAACAGAATGAATGTAAATAGATCTTCACTTACCCCATCTTTCTATAATTATAAACCACCAAGGATAAAGTTAAAAAAAAAAAAAACTTTAAAATCTCCAGAGATAAACTTTTATAAAGAGAAATAAAATTATCTACACTAGTACTGGAGTCAGATAGACATCTGACTTCTTGTTAGTGACATTAGATACTTAGAAGCAGTAACTTCAAGGGAAAGTGGATAACTCTCTATTGCTATAAAAGCTGAATATTTTTCTTTAATTTAATTAAATTTTTAATCCATACTGTTCCCACAGAGATTCTAGCCCAGATCACTTCAACAGTGAATTTTATAAAACATTTAATATTCTTTTTGAAAACAGAGGAGGAAGGAATCCTTCTAACTTACTTTAGAAGTGTAAAATGTTGATAACCAAACTTTACAAAGACATCACAAGACTGGAAAGTTACAGTCCACTTATCTCTCATGCATTTAAATATAAGAATCTTTTACAAAGCTTCTTTTAGACATTGGATTGTGTCCCTTTCTATCCCCTCTAAAAACAAGACATTAAAGTCTTAACCCCTGATGACTGTGAATGGTGTGTTACTTGGCAATAGGATCTTTTCAGATGTAATCAATTTAAGATGGGGGCATATTGAACTAGAGTGGGTTCTAATCCAATAACTGATGTTCTTATAAGAGGAACTTTTGGATACAGCTAGACACAAAGGAACAACATCCTGTGATAATGAAGGCAAAGATTGGAGTGATACAGGATTTATAGCACCTACCAGAAGCTAAAAAGAAACAAGGAAGCTTTCTTCCTTACAACTTTCAGCTAGAGTATGGCTGTGGCAATACCTTGATTTCATACTTTTAGCCTCCAGAAATGAGAGGATAAATTTATGTATGTATGTGTGTGTGTGTTTTAAGCCACTTATTATGCCACTGTATTATAACAGCCTTAGAACACTAATAGATCATCTAGGAGAAATATTTGCCACAAACTAGGTAACAAAAAATAATGTGTGATCAGGGATTTCATTGAGGGAAAATATACAAATAGTTAACACATATATGAACAAAAACATTTTACATCTGTTGTGATAATACATAAAGATATTTTATACTTTTTAAAAATCAGTCCATCACTTAGGATTAGCAACTATATCATTTCAGGTTTGGAGCAGCATAAATTTGGTATCCAAAGATTAACCTGTCATAAATAATTTCTTTAGAAATATGTTTGTGTTTAAGGAAGAGTTGCTAGAATAGCCTAGACAGCTCCCTATTAACTTCAAGTATCCCTTGTTAGCATTTTACTGTGCAGGATCTTTTTCTCCCAGCCATTATATTTGAAAGGTCACAAATTTACCACCTCTAAATTATCTATTGTATTCTCCCACACAAGGACTCTCTGCTATTTGTATGTACATTCCAAGAAAAGCTGTATTCATCAAAAAACATTGAATTTCATGTATTATTATGTAACTTGCTTTCTTCTCCCTCCTCCCTCCCCCAGACTCTTATTTTAAAAGTACAGTTAACAAATGAGGAATATGTCATACAAAATGATCACATTGATACATACACTTATAATCCATGAAATTCAGATTTTTCCTATTTTCTGGCAGTATCTTCATTTTTCTTTCTAGTTCAGCATCCCATAGAGAATCGTTACATTTCTTTATGTGTCTCTAGTTTTCTTTATCCTGAGTTACTTAAATGTTCTTTGTCTTTCATGACCTTGACAGTAGGTTCTTTCTCAACATTGATTCGTTTGATATTTCCTCCATATCAAGTAGCTAAGCAGCTTTGGCAAAGGTTGCACAGACATGATGCAGTGCTATCTGATATGATCTGTCTGACCTTTGTTAATATTAACTGATCACTGTTCACGTTTATATTCACCAACATTTTTCACTGTGAAGTGGCCTAGTTTTAATTGATATGTAGGTACTGTACAGCTATGTCAATATCCTATTCCTCATCAATCTATACTCTAGCCTTAATCTTACTTTTTTGCAAAGCATTACCATAGTATGCTAAATAATGGTCCTTTAAAGATGTCCACATCTTTCTCCGGTTGGGCCCCGTGTAATTAGAAGGAACCTCTTATGGGTGTATGGAGACATGCGAGTCAGAGAAATCGGAGATTAAGTGAGAGCAGAAGCAGATGGTCATGGAGTGATACAAAGATGCTGAACTACTGGCCTAGCAGACAAAGGATGGAATTATTAATATGAACTCCTTAATGTAATGAACATTCCTTCTTTTCTCTTTACTTCTTGCATATATTGTATATTATTGTGAGGATGAATAAGCATTGTGAGCCTTATATGGGTTTTCCTTAAGGTAGAAACTAAGCTACATCTTTCCCACAACTCTTTAACCTTTTTTTTTTTTTTTTTTAATCCTAAGTTTTTTTTTATCTGCTTTCACTTTTACTGGAACCATTTTGTAAAATTT